GAAATGGTGTAGGTGTAATTATAGATAAGAGTTTGAAAGATAATGTTGTAAAAATTAATAGAGTTGAAGATAGAATTATAGCCCTTAAGATTATCATTGATACTAAGATTTTTAATATTATAAGTATTTATGCTCCTCAAGTATATTTAGATACAAGGTCTAAAGGTAAATTTTGGAATGACTTAGAAGACTTAATACAAATGATACCTCTTGAAGAAAGAATTTTTATTGGAGGAGATTTAAATGGACATATCTCTTTCAAATATGAACAATATTATTTTTTACCCTCTTTTAGATTTTGCTTTAGCGTTTGATTTTGTTATTACTAATACTTTATTCAAGAAAAGGGATGAACATCTTATTACTTATAAGAGTGGATCTAATAAAACACAAATTGATTATTTTCTTATGAGAAGAAGAGATCGTCGTGATTGTAATGATTGTAAAGTCATTCCAAGTGAAAATTTAAATACCCAACATCGTTTATTAGTTTTAGATTTTAAGATTAAGAGTTGTAAAATAAAAAATACTAGGACTCATCATTGCAGAATTAGATGGAGAAACTTAAAAGATACAAATAAAATTAATTTTATGAGTAAAATTCAAGATTTCAAAATTTGGGATATTCATGAAGAAGCAAATGTGATGTGGGATAAAGTAACAAACGCTATTAAACATGTAGCAAAAGATGTTCTTGGAGAATCAAAGGGAAAAATATTTACAAATAAAAATAGTTGGTGGTGGAATAATAATGTGCAAGAAAAGATAAAATATAAGAAGTTATGTTATAAAAATTGGTTTAAATGTAAAAGCTTAGAGAACTGGAGAAAATATCAAACGGCTCGCAGGGAGTCTAAAAGAACAATCTGTGATGCTAAAAATTCTGCTTTTAATGATCTTTATAATAGATTAGATACTAAGGAGGGTGAAAAATATATGTATAAACTAGCCAAACAAAGAGAAAAGAAAAGTAAAGATTTAACTCAAGTAAAGTGTATTAAAGATGAAAATCAAAAAGTACTTTTCTTAGAAAAAGATATTCAACATAGGTGGGTGAGTTACTTTGATAAACTTTTTAATGAAGATTCTGAAAATACGATCGACCTTAGTGGTTTTAATATCGTGAATAATAATAAAACGTTTCATTTTTACTGTCGCATTAGTAAAAAAGAAGTTGAAAAAGTTTTAAAGAAAACCAAGGGTGGAAAGTCTGTAGGATCTGATGATATCCCAATTGAAGTGTGGAAATATATAGGAGATTTGAGTGTTTCTTGACTTACTAAACTCTTTAATATTATTTTAAAAACTAAAAAAATATCTGAGGAGTGGAAGAAGAGTATTTTTGTCATTATTTTTAAAAATAAAGGGGATGCACCCAAAAGTGTGCAAATTATAGAGGAATTAAATTGATGTGTCAAACTTTAAAATTATGAGAGGGTAATTAAACATAGTTTAACACGTATTACAAATATTTCTTATAATCAATTTGCATTTATGTCGGGCAAGTCTACTATGGAAGCTATACATTTATTGAGAGGTTTGATGGAGAAGTTCAGAGAGAATAAGGATGGTCTACATATGATTTTTATTGATTTAGAAAAAGCTTATGATAAGGTTCCAAGAGATATCCTTTGAAGTGTTCTAGAGAAGAAAAGTGTTGATATGAATTATATTCAAGTCATTAAAAAAAGTATAATAGAGCTGTTTTACTTGTGTTCGAACAGAGGATTGACCAAATATTTTTCTATTTTAGTTGGACTACATCAGGGATCAACTTTGAGCCCATATCTTTTTGCTTTAGTCATGGATGCTCTTACTAGACATTTACAGAGGATGTACCTTGTGTATGTTTTTCTGTGATGATATCCTTCTAGTGGATAAGACTAGAGAGAAAGATCAGTTAAAACTTGAATGATGGAGGTCTAAATTTGATTCTAAAGGCCTTCATTTAAGTAGAACTAAAATTGAATACATGGAATGTAATTTTAGTAGTAGTAGCTCTAGTGACAGAGTTGTAACTATGGGTGATCAAATTATTAAAAGGTGTGAACGCTTTAGATATCTCGAGTCTATTGTTCAAAGTGATGGTGATATAGATGGGGATGTTAGCGGTATAATTCAAGTTGGTTGATTGAAGTGGAGGAATGCTTCGAGCCTATTGTGCGATAGAAAAGTACTGCTTAGACTGAAAGGAAAATTTAATAAGATGGTGGCGAGACCAGCAATGCTCTATGACGCAGAATGTTGGCCTTTAAAAGAGAAGCATAAAACTAAGTTAAGTGTTGTCGAGATGAGAATGGATAGGTGGATGAGTGACTTTACATTTAGAGACAAAATGCGAAATGAATATATCCGTGATAGGGTTGTTGTAACTCCAGTGGCATGGCAGACAAAATTAGAGCGAGTCGTCTTAGATGGTTTTGTCACATTAAACGTCGACCATCTGATGATCCAATTAGGAGAGTAGATATTTTAGATTCAACTTATGTTAAGAAAGACAAAGGTACACCCAGAAATACAAAGGCATATTGTATAAAAAATGACCTTAATCTATTAGAAAAAATGAAAATATGACACTCAATAGGGCGCAATGGAGAAAAAGGATTCATGTAGCCGACCCCAGACAACTGTTTATTCTTGTTGTTGTTGTATGTCATCAATGATGCAAACGACAGATGTCCACCATTTTTTTTTTGGAAGTTGAGTCTTAATGACAACTAAGTTATGAATTAGCGGTTAGTGATTAGGATATGTTTTGAACTTGAGTCTCCTAGTTGGATAGAAAGCTCTTCGCAAATTTCTCCATAAGCCTTGCACGATGTCTTCCAGTTCATGCAAGTATAAAAGAAACACAAATGATCAACCTTCAATTCAATTTATAAGGCGAAAAAGAGAAACTTTTGAAAACTTCATCTCACTATTCATGTTTTTTGATTCATAAAAAAGTTTTTTTTGTGGTTCTCGCGACTCGAGTGATGGACCAATGATTATCCAAGTAGCTCTTGTGGCATTGAGCATGAAATACTTGTTCAGATGCTTTTTGTTGTTGTATGATCCAATGCACGTCAAGAATAAGCTAACATTAATAAATATGATGTTTAAAAAAAAGTAGGCAAGGACATGTAATCATGCAACTTTTGATTCAATTAAATATTTGACTGAAACTTCAAATTTATGTGCACAATGCTAGTGATTTCGTCGAGTACTATAAAAGTACGACAAGCTAATTCTAGAACTCGTTTTCTATTATTGGCGTTAGGCTTGAATTTTTAGACACTTTATGGACTATTTTCTTCAGTTTATCCAACTTCTTATAAATATCTAGAGCTCTTTATCAGCTTCATATTTGATAAAAAAAATATTTACATACATACCACTTAATTCCACACCTAAATTTTAACTTTTACATATGAGCCACCTTACATATGCATAAAAAGCTATGTTTTGATTTTTTTTAAGTTAAAATAGTGTTATTTTTGATGTGATATGAATGATTTGGATGGTGTAAATGTTAAAATTAAAGTTTAGGTGTTAGATATGTAAATGCATAGGAATAGATTGGACCGGTATGTATGTAAATGCCCCTTAAAAAAATTGGAGTTTAATTGCGATGGAAAAAATTCAGTTGCTTATTGGGCTTTCAAAGTTCAAATTTCTCATTCATTTCTTCATTTTAATCAATCATTACATTATCATTTTAGTTCTGATTCCCACCTTGTTTGCATCTAAATAAAGTAAAATTTTGTACATCAAGCGGCCTTAAAAATCTAAATCCTAATTTTCTTCATGTGATCCACATACCTTAAATTAATTGTTCACTCAAAGCCCTAAATTTCGTCATTCAAATTTGACGAAGAGTTTGCTAGAGGGTAAAGGGGCATACGAAATTTTTTTTTCCTGTACATAGCATCTTGGTATTGTACCTGCAGAACCCCAACTTTAAGCCAACAGCGCCCCAACGCCTAGAGGCAACACCGCTGCTCCTAGTTTAGGTTTAGCACCCGATAGCATGACACTGCACATACTCAAGAAGACCTATGGTCATGGGAGATTTGAAATTGATCAACTTAGTTTTCAAGGCCAGATTAGGGTTTTGGCTTAGCAACCTAAAGATCGTCATGGATTGCAATTGATTTATTTTGATTATATGAAATCCCCATGGTAGGGAATGATTATGATTGAACCTAATAAGATCAAGCATTGAGATTTGAAGGTTTATATCTACACTGGCCAATAGACCTGATGATTAAATCACTAGGATCACGAACATAGCTGAAAATGCATATGTAGTTGCACTGAGACTGGGTAACTCATTTAGGTGCATGAAAGATAACTTTAGTTTAGCAGACCCAAGTATCAATGATATTTGATTTTTAACAGTGATGCTGAAGGAGGTTAATGCATGCAGATTTAGTTCTATATTTGCAAAGAGATTGTTTCCTTGGCTCCAACTTTGGATCTCCTACATTTTAAATTATAAATTTAAGGTATAACTATGCTATTTATCACAAAATTCTAACAAATCAAATGTGTTATTATTGTGTGATAAAAATATAGTTTTTTGTTAAAAATTATAGTTTAAAATGTACGATGAGATTATTTATTTATTTTTTTAAATGAAGGGTTCATATATATGTTCTTTATTGATTTTCTTACTCATGATTTTGCAATTTAAGAAGATTTAATGTTTAAGAAATGTGAGATTATTTATTCATTTTTTTAAATGAAGGGTTCATATATATGTTATTTATTAATTTTCTTACTCATTATTTTGCAATTTAAGAAGATTTAATGTTTAAGAAATTTGAATTCTTACATTTTATCAATTGAATAGAGTAAAATAAAATACTGCATGGCCTGAAAAGATTATACATATTTCAATGAACATATTATGAAATTTATGCTACGCGTGCATTACTACTAATGTTATAAATGGTGAGACGTAAAATGTCTAATGGTGACGTTTTAAGTGCTGTTGTAGCTTGCCATTATATTTGTAGGTTAAGCATGCTGTCCTGGGCGCTCATGGTGTAGATGCACAAGTTTCTGGAATCACTTTTCTAGAATCCTTGGTAACCATTATACTTCAATTTGTATTTTAAGATCATGAAATTCATGCTTTTTTCCTTCATGAATTTCTAATTTCTTGAAACTTGCGCAGGTATCAGAATTTTCATTAACAACTTCAACTGCCTTGGGCCTCCCTAGAGAGTTTCACGAGCAATGCCATCTATCATTCGAATCGACCTGTTTGAAGGTTGATGATTCTTGTTGTGTCACTTATTTTTGTACTTTGCAAAAATACTTACTAACCACATCCAAAGTTGTAAAAGGCTGAAGTCATAATTTTCAATAAAGGTCTATCATCTCAGGAATTTTATTGTTGGGCCAAAGATGCTGCAATCAGCTTGACTGATAAAATCGTTGGTTGCAATGCAAGTCTTTATGAAGATAAAATTTGCTCTTCAGCAATGCACCTGATGTTTCAAATTTTGAACTGGAATTTTAGACGATCAACTCTTCCTCCAGAACTTTCCAACTTCAATCCAAATGCATTTTCAGCTGGAATCAGGCATGAAGCCGTATTGCTTAAAAAGTTTGAGCGAACTTTTGTGCAAGTAAACTCCTTCAGCTCATGCAAAGATTCCAAGCTCTTATGCATCATCAATTTTGTAATCTAACTTGGCAATCTTCTTACATACTCTGTAGCCAGGAATCGCTTGGCATGATCCCTTAATATCTAGCGGACAAATTGCTTGGGTCCTTAATCTTTATTCAACACTACGCCAAAAATATTTTGTTGATGTGATATGGCTTGATTCTTCCCTTGCAGTCTCTACTAGAGAACTTATTTTGCAGTTATGCTCATTGACAGGGACTGTGTTCCCTTCTGGTAATTTGTTTTCCAACATTTTGCTTTTTAAATTCTTGACCTTAGTGCTGAATTTTCAACTTTGGTATGCATCGTTTTTTTCTTAATTTTTGTAATTGTTATGATTCATATATAGAGTTTGATTTGTCTTCAACTATAGAGTTTGTTATTCACCGTGCTTGCTAATGTCCAGATGTTTTGATCAGCTAAAATCATTACCTTTGAGGCAATTAGTTACCATATCAAAATATTCCATGCCAATGAACGCCTTCTTTTTAAAAATTTTGAATTTGTAAAGTAATTAGAGCTCCACAAGTATATTAATTAAATAGGGCAGAGTTTCTGTTTGTTTTTCACGGCTTCTATTTTTTATAATTTTTTTTATATCATTACACTTGGTCATAAGCTGTTTTATTATTCAATTTTTGATTCAAACTGTTGGAAATTATGATCTGCTATGTCAAAGTCTGGATCTATATTGTGTGATACAGGATGATTCCTGAGTATGTTCCAATAAGATCCAGAATATCTCCATGCTTACTGAGCTTGTTCCCCACATTTTTTTGCTTTA